CGTTCACTTTTCGATCGTAAGCAGATTAAGTTTTTAAACTATCAAGAACTACAAATCACCATACAAATTCTTAACGCGCTCACTAATGACCTTACACTGGCCAATCTGACACAACGATGCTAGTACGCGTTCTGTTTGGTGAAGCCTTAAGTAAAAGAAGATAATGGGGAGGATTATCCCTTACAGAAGCACTTCTATATAACACTTTAACCTTAAAAAGGTCCGCGTTTCGTTTATATCGAGGAAACAAGAGGCAATTATTGAATGCTGCCGAGTAAGAACCCTTATCACAATTGCATACTCAACAGGCACAAAATTTACACTTTAATAACGCAGTCGGGAACACATTAACCCTTAGTTACGTTTAATGGCCCAGTTTTTCTTAACAGTAGGTTCCACACAAAATTTAGAGTTTAGTGACTAAAATTAAACTATTGTTTTAATATTCAGGTCTCAGAGTATAATATTCTGAAGAAAAAATAAATAATTGGAAATATCCAAAATCAAAAAGGAAGAAAAATAGGGTTAAGTTATTTTTTTTTATTGTTTTGAAACTAAATACTTCTTGCTTCTAACTTCGGCATTACACGATTTTTCGTAATTAGAACTATTCGTTAACTTTACATAAATAAAAATATATGTAGTAAATGTATTATGATGCGTTATCGCGGATTAGTATTTAGAACTTGTAGGAATGCTTGTATTACCATAATCGCACACAATAGGAATTGAGGAATCTGAAACGGTTCACATTATCACACTTGACAGATGTGATGTAATTATCGTTACTAGGAAAAGCTTCTCATGTGATAATTTCAACTCATTTCTCAAAAAAAATATTTCAAGATCTCTTGTCAAATTCTATGATACCTACTGTACTATTTTAAGAAAAAGCTTTCATGTATTAATGTCTTTAGTTCATTGAAACACTTTCTCATGGATCCATCATGCTGTCTGAGACAGGAAATAGCGTGTAGAACGGCAGTGGGTCGATGAACCTACCGATCAAGGTGCACTTATGTAATTTACCACCGAAATGGTTTTCCGCGTCTTCGCCCGTATAAATTACAGCCTATATTACGCGCAATGATGTAGCTTCCTGTAGGTGAAAGGATTTTTAAAACTGGCTTCGTAGTTTCGGCGCCTTTTCAACGTAAACAGAAAAAAACAATTAAATCTTTCCTATTTAAGTATAGATGAACTTGCAAGCAAGAAAAAATATTTATTTCAATATAATATTTATTATTTTAAATCAGATTTAAAATAGAACTCCGAAGAAAACACGTTAAGTTATCTTATCTGAAACTTTGTTATAGATACATTTAATGGCCAAATGACAGGTTCGATAGGAGTTTTGATATTCTGTAAAAATACTAAGCGATTCCATCAACTAAAACCTTCATAACTTTTTGAAGAGAACCTCTAATGCTGCGACAGCGCTGTATTCTACGTTGTATTTTTAACAAAATGGCACTTCTGGTAGAACGGCATTCGTCCGATTACTAAATAGTTATGACACGAGTTCAAGTGCCGTCTTAGCACGAAAATATTTATTTTTTATAATTCTGTGTCTATGTCTAAGGTGCAAACATTTTTCTATAAGATGTTTCAATTCTTTATTTTCGGCGATTCTTATTCACATCAATATCCCTATCGTGGCTTTAACCTACAACATTACCCGGTTACCATAAAAAAATCAATAGCTGAAAGCAAAGAAATTTTCAATTAATAAATAATTTCTTTGCTACTAAGCGGAACAATAAGAGTCTCTTACACGACACGTTTCATCTATAAACGGTATTTGTGTGTTTTATTTTAAGAAAATCAGTTTTCTTATTCAATCGGTTATTAAATTTTGACGTGACCTTTTGTGGCGTACCTCAGTATATCCATTTGATATAAATGTGAGTCATCGGTAGGAAAATAAATAGACTAAGAACAATATCGGTAAGCTCGGTGGCGTAGTGGATAAGCGCCGCGACCCGCGATCGTAGTCGTTAAGCAAGTTTCGCAAGGGTCGGTCACGGGATGGGTGACCAAAAAATTATTATCTCGAGCTACTCCGTGCTTCGGAAGGCACGTTAAGCTGTTGGTCCCGGCTGCATTTGCAGTTGTCAATACCCTTCAATCCGCAATGGGCCAGCGTGGAGGGTCATGGCCCATCTTCCTTAACCATCCATAAGGAAGGCCTGAGCCCCTGCAGTGGGGACGTAAAAGGGCTGGTGATGTGAAGAACAATATAACTCACGATTGCTTGGTCTACTTTTAATTTCACAGCTGTTAAAATGGAAATTAAAAGTTGAAACTATAGTGGTTATGTCGAAGCCGACCGGGTAAAAGATCCGTCCAATTAGGCGTCTAGCCCTATAATAGAATGGCGCTATTCATTTGCACGGCTAAACGTCGATCAGCTGAGTAACCATAACAATGTTCTTCTACAGCGTGGTTATACCTAGGGCACTGGTTAACTGTCAAAGACCACTATACGAAACACTGTTATTAATAGTAAATGTCCGCAATATTCGAATAAATTACTTTGATGTTCATCTTCGTCGACACAACAAAAACCTATATGTATTTATTTATTTAAGGTACAGCATCAGCTATACATGTAATTAACCGACTAATGTTCAGTATGTTATAGTACTTTATCTCTGAAAACTTAAAAGCTATTTAACCGTTAAAAAATACAGATAGAAAGAAAAATCAATCCACTTAAAACATAATCATAAACTGTTAAAATAAACGCCATCTCCATTGCAGGGGCTCGGGCCTTCATTATGGATTGGTTACAAATGGGCCATGACCCTCTACGTTAGTACAATGCGGACTGGAGGATATAAACGTAAATGCAGCCGGAACAACGGCATAACGTGTCTTCATGTAGTCATGGACTAGCTTGAAATAATTTTTTTTGGTCATCCATCCCGTCGCCGACCCTTGCGAAAGTTGTTTAACAACAACGACCGCAGCCGCGGCATTTATCCATTATATCACCGAGATACTCATCGGTATAGCAAAGGTTCTTACTAAATTTTATTTGAAAACTCAACCTTGAAGAAATACTTATCGCCATCTAGTAAGTATAGCATAAGTCTATAGTTTGTGTTTTGTACTTGAATATTTTCATAAATATTTATTTATAATGTTATTTTTGTTATCAATTTTATAATCAAAAATCAATTTTTATCACAGTATTAGGAAATCCTTAGAAATAATATTATATAGATAAATTACAATGACAAATCAAATTGTAAGCAATGGTTGCTATGGTAACAATTTCGTTCCCCATAAAAACTCACTCCCATTGACATCCCTTTAAGTGCTAGTTTTCGGCATAAAATATAACTTATGACCTTCATAACATCTTAAACTACCCAAATACTCTTTTTCATCGATATAGGTCCAGAAATAAAGAAGTTTCATACAAACGTTTTCACCCTTTTTGACCTCATTCAGAGTGAAATTTCCAAAAATCCCTTCTTAGCACACCTCTATATAATAAAAGGAATATATCCTCCAAATTTTAAGTCTCTATGACCAGCGGTTTAGGCTGTGCGTTGTCTGTCAGTCAGTAAGTCAGGACATCTCCTTTTATATATGTATAGATTAGTATATACTTAGGGGTTAAGTAAAGTAAGAGTCAAAGCAATGCTTGGCAAACGTTTGAATTATGATTTATTAGATAAATTTTTTCCATTTCTTCCTTCATAAAGTGCTTCGCCTCATCGTCTCAATAGAGAATAAGAGGAAACCTTTTACGATATAACTGACATTTTGATTCCGCTCGTAGATCAGAATTGAAGATATTATACACATAATAAATAGTAAAATAATTTAGACAGCTTTTCAAAAGCTCAGGTACTAAATCTAGAATTAAGAAACTTTTTGTTGGCGTATGAGCAATAATAATTTATCTATATAAAAAACCGGCCAAGTGTGGGTCGGACTCGGACACGAAAAAAAAGTAAAAAAAAAACAAGTATGTTGCTTTATATGGAGTTAAATACATTTGGTCGATTATTATTCGTAAACTTGTAAAGCCATCTTAAGTGTGACACCTATAGGTACTAGTGCCGTAATGTTCCAATTTTTTACCAACGACCGTTTAGTTGGAGGGGAACACTTGAATCTAATGAAAGTAGCTCATTTCTTTCCCACGCCCCCAATGTTTTTAAAAGTCCTATTTAACAACGCCACACACTATGAGGAAGATGAAAAATAAAATATCATCCACACTTTACATGTAAGGGCCCTATAATTTTTTTTTCGAAATTTTTCTTTACCTTTTTCTGGCATAATTAACTTGTGCCAAATTACAACTTTCTAGTACCAATAGTTTTTGAGCTAAAACTTTAAAATTAAATTCAGAATTTAGACTATTTTATGATAGACGTGCTAAAGAAATAAACATAATCGACTTTTATATTAATTAAATTATCGAATGACTTAATATTAGAACTTCTATAATTTTTTGTTTTTGTTCCAACATGCAGATTTATTTTTCACGACTAAAAACCACCGTATTATAAATTAACAGAAGACACAATTGATCTGTCAGGTTTGGGCTGTGAACTTATACATTTACAGTGTATAAGTAGTGTGAAAAATATTTTCTCGAGATTGATGGTTTTTCCTAACACATTCGACCTTCAGTGACTTGTGGGTGCGCCACACGCTACTGCGAGACTTAACGCAAAATTAATAAGGGAAAAGAGAACGCTTAGGATTTTATGTTTCGTGATTTGACCAATGTAATACTAGCCATTATTTGACGTTGAAATCCATTTTCAGTTAAATCATCACAAATCGTAAAAAATACTCACCTTTTAGATATGAATTGATACTATTATATTATTTCTCTTATTATAAAACACATTTTACTAGCGAAAATGGTAAGCAGACATTTTTCTAGTTGGAACGGATACAGTGGTTTTCGGGTCAAAAAGTTGCGAAATCTGCATGGCAATTTATTCCATTGTTTGATGCTATGTACTCACTATTTTTGTGTTGAGATGCATAAGCTCTCGTTCAGTGAAGCGGCGTCGCGCGGTCTCCATTTGCTGCTGTCGGTACTGGTTATATTTGTACAGCAAATACATTCCGGGCAGTGCCAACACCACGAACGGTCGCATCAGGCTCGATGACCCACCCCTCTGCGGCATCTTCTTTTTAACATTATTCTTCCTGTGCCTCTCTCGCTTTACCTGTCGCGCTGTCGTCACACAACTCTCTAATATTAACTATTACCACATTTACAACCCTAGCAGTCATTTTCCCAACACTTATTTAGCACATCACAGTTTTACCACTAAGATGGAAGATTTTGTTTGTAGGTAATTGAAATATGAGTTTCACCACTTAATACATTAATGTCGCTAATTCTACGGGGTTTCTACGTTAAATAATTGGAATATTGCTTTTCAATAGACCTACATATATTTACACGTCGCTTTTATCAACATCTTGCTCGCAACGTAACCTGAAACAATAGATATTATTTTTCATAAAGTCTTTAATAACATTGGTTGTTTTTACGATGTTGCCTGAATCAGCTTTATTAGATCATCTTGTATTTTACTGGGACTTTATATTTGTATTAATGACGGTAAATATAAAGTAATTACTTTTGTACTATATACAAGGAACTTAAAAATAATTGATTGGTCTTTTAAATATAAACAGAAGAATAAGTAAAAACATAATAAATATCTATTTTAATTGATCATGTGTGTGTAAATATCTATTTTAATTGATAAGTGCTGAAATTTTTATTTAGAATCTTTATTTTATAAAGGACCTATTCTAAAAAATCAACACCTAGATTGGACATTTGGTATGGAGTTTTAAGTATGACAACAAGTCCTGAAAAATTTAAAGCATTTTAAATGCATAAGTTTCAGGTGGTTATATGATTTACCATATAAATGACTTACTAGATAAAAGAATAGCCTTTATTTACGGCCATGCATAGTCTTCCTTAGACTATTATTTCAATCATATATAAAATTAGGTCAACGAAACCAAGGTTACATATAAAATATTAAAAAGCTATCTTTGTTTCAATAGCCAATAGTAAGTCCGAGTTGTCGATCAAGCAGCTTTCGTATAAGTCAATAGTATCGGGGGCTGGTACGCGGTTATACCAAAGCTTTATAAATATATCCTATACTTTGATCAGATATTTAAAAGCAATTAAATTTCTACCCTAAATGTTATTCGTAACTATTATCTTTGCTATTCTATTTCTGTAACTGCGTAAATAGAACTTAAAGTCTGAGAAATATTAGGGGTTAAAGTATGAAATTGCCGTTTTATTGCAATAGGTTCCAAGAAATGACATAGATCTTCATGGTTTGTGGTTTTTGTAAGAAACTTTTTTCACATGGTTTCTCTGATGTCTTATTTGAAAAATGTGGAAGATTTGAATATCGACTTTCAATTGTTTTTGTTATTCAACTTAGACAAGAAAGATGGATACTTACTGCGAAAATTCGAGTGATTTTTGAATACGAGTTCCGCGGAAGTAACGCGGCAGAAACAGCCCGCAATATCAATGTTGCGTTTGGAGAGGGGTCTGCTAATGAATTCACCGTGCCATTTCGGTTTAAACGCTTTCGTGATGGAAACTTCGACTTGAAGAACGACTCACGAGGAAGACCACCCACACAGGTGAATAACGATGAATTAAGAAAGGTGGTGGGAGCCGATCCTAGTCAAACTACCCAGGAATAGCGAAATGGTTTAACGTTACCTTACCCACAATATTGACTCATTTGCATCAAATCAATAAATTAAAAAATACGAAAAATGGGTGCCTCACGATTTGACTAATCTGCTCAAAGAAACGCGTGTTGAAACTTGTGTTGCCTTGTTGAATCGGTACAGAAATGACGGAATATTGGATCGAATTGTGTCAAGTGATGAAAAAGGGATTCTTTATATAACTTTAAAAGAAAAATGAAATGGCTGACCCCAGGTCAAACGCCACAACAGTGTCCTAAAGCAAAACTTACCAATAAAAAGATAATTATTCAGTTTTCTCCGATCTGGTCAAGCAATAACGGCAGATGTCTATTATGCCGAACTCCGAACAATGTTGGCAAAACTAGTTTTTCATCGATCTTCACCATTATTGCTCCACGACAACGTGAGACCTCACACAGTATGAGAAACCGTTTTGACCCTTCAGGAACTGCAGTTAGAAATCATTCGTCATCCTCCGCATTCGCCAGACCTTGCTCCAACGGACTACCATTTTTTTTTTCGTGATTTGGACAATTATCTACGTGACAAGAAGTTTTCTTCCCAGGAGGCAGTACAAAATGCTTTCACACAGTTTTTGCAGTGTAGATCACTGTAGATCAGAACTGACTCAGAGTTCTGTCACAAATTTACAAATACAAATCGGCAATTTCATACTTTAACCCCTATTATGTTAAACATTTAAAACACCCCCTAAAACTTGACTTTATTCTTACCTGTTTTACTAGAACAGCTTTGTTATTCTTTAATTACCTTTTATTTGATTTATCCTCGGTATTGTGATAACGCTGTGCTTGACGTCGAAATAGACGCTTTTTTTACAGAAAAGAACTGTAGATTTCTTCCACCAAAAATAATTTCTGTATGTATTTATTTAGCTGTGATTACGATAAAATTTTGCCATTCAAGATGGAGAAATCTTTAAAGTAATAAAACAGCTCCCATTTCTTTCATCATTTGCTACCTTTGGTTGTGTTAATATTCACAGGATAACTTGACACTGGATTATGGTAATGAAAGGTTTAAGGTTAGAAATTACTAAAGGAAGGTTATTTTCATGTGTCAAACTCTTAAATTAGTACGAGTATACATCATGTCATCTAGCAGGTTTTGCCTCAATTTTTTTGGATAAAACTAAAGGTAGCAGATGATGTACCACGTTTTTAGTCAAAGCTATATTAAATAAGGTGTATGAAGATTTCTCCATCATGTAGGGCATAAAATCATCGCAGTCACAGAAATATTAAAATGCATGTGGTTTTCAAAATTAAGAATTTAATTCGTTGTAGAACCGAAAGGTAAAAAAATAAAGACTGCACTTTCCAAAAAATAACAAAATCGAATTTTAAGGGACCGAACTGAATTATAAGCGAAGAGGGTAATGATTATTGTATTTGATTAATTTTGCATTCACAACGTTTTACTTTTCTCAAAGGTACAATATATTTTAGCATTTTTATTTAACACATATTAAGACTATAGCATAGAAGTTAAAGCACGATTGACTCTGTTAAATTAAATTAAATCTTTAACTTGATCTTATAAGTACTTAATACAAGTCACTGAGTATGAACTATCGCGTGATTAACCCTTTTTTTATATACATAAATAAATATTTCTTTTAGCTAAGCTAAAAATAAAGCTATCGTTTTGTTAGTCTTCGAAGTTCATATTTGTGAAGTTTGAATTCACTACACAAAAGCATTTCTGATATTTCAGTTACGTTAACAGTTTCCAATGATTTTTATATAAAAAAAAATTTTGAGTTATGGACAAAAGACACAAAACCGCAATTTCTGTCATTTTTTAACCGTTTCAAAAACATAAACGGCATTTTGATATTTTTTATTACTTAAGTTCCATAGAACGTATTCTCAATTATCATCATCTCATTTACGTCCCCACTGCAGGGGCTCAGGTCTATTTGGAGGGTTAAGGATATTTTCAATACAATTTTATAATGACAACTATATTATTCATCATTCAAAAGATACGAATGCTGAAATAGGTACCTATAAAAATTTCAAATAAAATAAGTTTTGTAAGGAAACAACTCAAAATTGTCATTCAAACTTTAAAACTATAAATGCTTACAACTATTAATTCAAAGTTAAAGTTCTTTTAGCGGCATAATTTTGGACAAGTGTAGAAAATTTATTGGAATCGTCAATTTCAGGTCTTTTACCTGTATTAGCTCAAAAACTGTGGCTGATACTGTAATTTTTATAGATGGTTCGAGTTCAGGAATTATGACTTGGATATAAAATATATTACTTGCTTAATATTAATGAGAAAGAATTTTTTGTAGGCCTGTTGATATCCACGTCGTCTTCGAGTTAAGTACGATAATTACATTCTTGAGACATACCTATGTACACCTACTTATTTGAAGCTTTATATTACTAAGAGTACAACTTGTTTTATTATTAATATTGGGCAATTGAATATTTTGTGTGTAACTTTATCTAAAGTGCTTCTTCTGTATTTGATGTTTTACGTAATACAATTGGGAATTCCAAAACTTCGGTTTTTTAAATATATGTTGTATAACACTTTATATTTCAAACGTATAGATTATTATTGTCTGAAATATTGTGAAACATTAGGTTGTAGGCATATTACAGGTTTATAAAAGAACAATACACATGAGTTTCAACAAAGAAATCACGGCGTAGTCGATGGCTCACGAGTTCACATGACTAGAAAAACCAGAAAAAAATTGCTGAACAATTTCGCTTCAACACCGTCACGCGAACCATCATTAACAACATGAACTGCAAATGCTTGTCCCACTCCCAAGGATAACCTTCGACCTTAAACTGATAGCTAACTCACCTCAAAACAATCGCACGTCCGGAACAATCATGGCTAACTGTATACTAAGGGAAGACACTACAGGCAGCTAAATTCAACGGTTCCTTCGCGCTACGAAAGTAAACTGGCTAAATTGACATATTACAAGTTCAGCCTACTTTTTAACAACATACAAGGGAACGTTTTATTGATGAAAACAGTTTTCCGCGCCGGTGTGGGGACGGGACGCCGGGCGAGCGCGCATCAGGCGCGCCGCCTCTCTTGTACTGAACGTTCGGTGGTTGCTCGGCGAACATTCACGCACGCGCATTCGACGGCAGGATCGGCCAAAACTCTATATCCACACCACCTCCAAAAAGACCTAACGTCTCCAAACTGAACATTGTTAAATTAACTCTAATACAACGAATGAAAATGACATTTTATTTTTTACTTTAATAGGAGCATGGTCTGTTCTAACGAGTAGTTTGCGTGTGCCGCACTGCACACGGCGGTAATTAAATATATTATATTTGACAATACTGGAGGCTGTGCTGTGCGCTCCTGATGACGTCAATGTGCACAGTTGAGAACAGTTGATTTGAAA